TGCTGGGGATTCCCAGTGACAGCGCAGCGCCGGTATGTGGGGGTCTGAGCGGCTCCCACAGAGAAATAATCTTTGAAGGCAGGATGGTAATCTGGATGAACTGACTGCACAGACCATGTTTTCACGAGGACTTTCTCACTTCAACATAGATTCTAACTACTTTCTACCCGCTGATTACAGCTAATATAGCCGCCATTGTTCCAGGCAGAGAAAGGATAGATTAGCTCCACCCACCGCGCATCAGACCAGGTAGGTTAATCCTACCAGCGGGTTTAGGTTAAGCCTACCTGCAGGGTTAGGAGGAGGTTAGGGGATGACATCCTGTTTATGGATGGTTGCTGGTTTTATTTGCAGGGCAGTGAAGGATTGTGGGTAAAAGAAGCGAGGGAATTGAGCTGCAGGTTTGATGGGAAACTCTGAGCTCATGTCTTCTAATGCTGGTTTTCTTCTCATGTTTTTAGGACGGAGGTGAGGACCATGGCTGAGCACATGATGATGCCCATGAGCTTCAGGATGGGGATGAACAGTCCTTCACAGAACAATGGGCAGCCGGGCCTGCGGGGGCTGCAGAATGGGCCCCTGTCGCACTACAGTAGGAACCCCCAGCACAACAATGAGGCTGTGATGAGACAGAGGCCAAACATTATGGGACAGGGGGGCCTGGGGGCCCCTGGAAGTGGCATTGCTATGGCACACCATCAGCACCAGATGATGTATACCAGCCAGGGTCCTCAGCAGCAACACCACCACCTGCAGTCCCAGCAGCAGCAGCAGCAGGGTGGACCCCCCCAGCATTACCTTCCCAGCAGCCTCACATCCCAGCAGCTCATGGCCAGCCTGCATCTACAGAAACTTAACACCCAGTACCACGGACACCCACTGGGATCCCCCAGTGGCCACCACCTGCCCAATGGAGCTCAGTACCGCATGGGCTCAGCACAGCTGGCCGGCATGCAGCACATCGGTGGCCATTTTGGACTAAATGGAATGGACATGGATCTAATCGATGAGGAGGTTCTGACTTCGCTGGTGTTGGAACTGGGCTTGGATCGTGTTCAGGAGCTGCCGGAGCTCTTCCTGGGACAGAATGAGTTTGACTTCATGTCTGACTTTGTGTGCAAGCAGCAGTCCAGCTCAGTGATCTGTTAAGGTTTGTTTAAACCCCAAAGAGCCCAGAATAGCAGACAATCTCTGCTTGGATGTTTCTGTACAGGTCCGTGACACGCCAACCTTTGAACTGAGCTCCCCATGAGCTAAACAGGGGGCAGGTTTCTCCCTCCCTGGAGCTGGTAATGAACAAAATATGTCTCTTTAGGCCTAAATGAAGCATCCAGATCACCAGGCCCAGTATGTTAGCGCGGGTCTACCTTCCATCATACCAGCTCGTTTTACTGAATGAGGACATTTTCCTTTCCTTTTTTAATTGGATTTTGGAAGCTGGCTCTTCAAAAATCCAGAATCGAAGCATAAAGCAGTGGAGAGAGTGGGATCAAATCTCTACAGAATGTCTTTGGGTTCAAACTGAACAGTTTGGAGTTTGATCTGGAATTAGTTCTGATGAAATAAAGGATGCAATGATGTTGAACCTGATCAGCTGTGACCTTTAACCCCAGCCTCTCCAAAGCCCAGAAGGCCTTGTTTTCTCATCAGTTCACTTTAATTCTACAGTCTATGAAGTTAGACTGAATTAATGATCTGGATCAGTCCACTTAGAGGGAAGAAGAAACATCAGCGTTTCATTTATTCTGAGAGAGTCAGACCCTCAGCAGATAACAGGAAGGCTGGATGGAGTAGAGAAAACATTCATCATCTGTCAGCAATGCTCTGATTAAACTGCTCTTTCCTTCAGCCAATTAAATCAATTTGTCATTTCATAAATAATAACAATGGCATCGTGCTGACCGAGGAAATATTTAGATAACTTCAGAAATATTTAGTACTGAAGAGAATGAAGGGGCTTCAGCTCCTGGATGTGGGATGGTGATCAGAGTATCTTTCAGTTAAATGGATCTAATGTGATGCACTGAGTCTCTGCACTGAGTCTCTGCACTGAGTCTCTGTACTGAGTCTCTGCACTGAGTCTATGCACTGAGTCTCTGCACTGAGTCTCTGTACTGAGTCTCTGCACTGAGTCTCTGCACTGATTCCCTGACTGAGTCTCTGATTGAGTCTCTACGGACTTCAGTCTGTGCATCAAACCATGGATCCATCACCCACTGGGCTGAAGCCATTTTTCCTCTAAACTCACGTTCCTTGTGGTTCTCCTGTTCCCTCTAGATCCGCTGACTCTCCTGCTGATCAGTTTGGAGGGATGGTTTCTTAATGGAGGCCATGCTGATTGGAGAACATTCTTTGGTGTTTTTCTCTCCATCTGTGAAAACTTCCTGCATTCACTATGCTGTTTGTGAAGCTGTGGAAGACGAGCAGCTCCACATGCAGACTCTCCATGAATCGCTCCCTAACAGCCTGTCTGTGGGGGTCTAATTTACAGCTCAGCTCAGAGACCACCTCACATTCTGACCTAAACCCAGCAGGGGCCAGATTGCTGCCGGCTGGATCCTGTCTCGGTACTTTAGACCAGATGAACATGCTGTCAGTACTTGGTAGGCCTTCGTCTCCTTAGGGGACCCTCGTACTTGTTGGGCGAGGCCTAAACCTTCCCACCATGTTGAACACAGGTAGGGGTTTGGGGGGATTTCCAACCAGGCTGTTCAGCATGGTCAAAAGCTGCCTGACTATGGTAGATTAAAGTGAGATTGTATTCCTTGTATTAAAGCACCCCCCCCCCCCCCAAACCACCTTTGTAACGTTATTGATTCTATTTTAAGAAAATGTATTTATTTTGAAATAAAATATTTATTTAAAGACCTTTTTATTGCTTCTTGTCTCAAATAATGTCAGAGTTGGTCCACAGACCAAGGACAGAAAACGGTCCCACCCTGGACACCATTGATAACCATAAGAGCAGACGTCCCCTCCTGCAGAAAAGAGTCGGCACCCAGAAAGCGTTATGTAAACAACCGCCGTTACAGATCCTGGATCCCTTTCAAGCTGCTTTCCTCTAAACTTGAAATCAGAGAAACTCTGAGTTTTCCATTTCCCAAATAGAGTTTCCTCATCCTGGTTCTGTTGCCATAGTAACATCCTTCCAGAGCTAACCTGGTCAGCAGCAGGTTTCCTTCAGTCTGCCTCCCCTCTCCTTACAGCCAATCACGCTGCTTTATTTCCTGATTTAGTCAGATTATTGTCGTAGTTTTCAGTATAAAAAAGAATAAATCATTCACTAGGCCCGTTAGATACATTGTGGTTAAAAACAAACATTTCATGCCCTTTTGATGAGGATCTTATTAAAGATCGGCATTAATTCACAGAGAATTAAATATTTATAGGGAGATGATTCTACAACTCAGTGACAGGAGAGGAGATTACTGGTTTTAGGTTTGTTTAAAATGAGCGAAATGCAGAGAATTAATTTTTATTTATTTATTTACAGTACGTGAAGAACTACTGAAATTACTTTTAGATTATACATAAATAGATTTATTATTGCTGTGGAGAAAAAAAGGAGTTAGGATTAGGATTGACTCAATGATAACAATTTACTGAGCCTACTGGCCCAATCTGAAGCCGTTCTCTGGGACTGACAGCCGCTAATAACGACCATTTATTGGGACGATAAGATCTGAAGCGCAGCAGCAAACAGACACGTAGTATTTAGTTTGTAAAAGAGACTGAATCAGCC